GCGGGCGCGGTGATGACAGCGAAGCAAAGCGGGCGAGAGGCATTTGGCAGCTGGGAGCTGGGCTGTGCTGCCTGGCTGCTCCCCAGCCCTTGCCAGGATGAGGGAGGTGATTACACCCTGCTGAATGCATGGCAGTGCTGCCGGGGGGAGAGATCAGGGCCAGGGACAGAAGCCAAAGGCAGGAGCAGATTTGTTCCATCTTCCATCAAAGCAGGGATGCCTGGTTTTGCAAAGAAGGCTCTTCCCTGGAAGTCGGAGTTGGCTCGTCCCCTTCCCAACTTGTAAAACCTGAGCTGCTGCTTTCAGAGTGGTCAATATCATCCCTGTGGCCGACCCCCCCCGTCTTAGGGTTGGGAGCAGGAGCCCCAAAACCAGATGCCTGAACCCCGCTGGACGTGTCGCAGTGGGGCGGGCTGGGCTGGTGGGGTTACCCGGCTGCTGTGTGCTTACAAGGCTAACACTGTGTCCTCCCAAAGGATCATCTTCTCCACGCCGTTTGCCGTCATCTCCTACTTTCTCATCTGGTTTGTGCCAGACATCTCCAGAGGCCAAGTGATGTGGTATCTTGTCTTCTACTGCATCTTCCAGACCCTCGTGACGGTGAGTTGGGCTCCGCACACATCCAGGCCAGTGGGCGAGGGATGGAGAGGACGAATCCTTCACCTTGCTGAGCAAGGGGCAGGCTTCCCCTGCCCCAGGTCCCATGGGCTGTTGCACCACCTCTGAGCTAATTCTCCTCTTGATGTTGCAGTGCTTCCATGTGCCTTACTCAGCCCTGACCATGTTCATCAGCAGGGAGCAGAGCGAGCGGGACTCGGCCACTGCCTACCGTAAGTGCTTCCGTCCCTCCTCCACCACGCCATACCGCAGTGGGAGCAGCGTGCCCAGGCCTTGGCCCCTCTCCGTGCCTCAGTTTCTCCATCAGACACTCTCCTTCCCTGTGGCTTTATCACTTGCCAGTTTGGGGGGAGCTGTGGGAGAGCTGGGCTGGCTCCTTTCTCCTGGGGAAGGCAGTGAATGGCAGCTCTGGGTGCTAAGGGCTGCGCTGGGTCCCGTTGGCTTCTCCCTCCAGGTATGACAGTGGAAGTGCTGGGCACCGTGCTGGGCACCGCCATCCAGGGCCAGATCGTGGGCAAGGCCGTTACTCCCTGCATCGAGAGCCCCCTGTTCATCGGCAGGGCCAACTCCTCGGTGGCCATGGAGGAGCTGAACATGACCCACGACACCGGGTCGCTCACAGACACAGTAAGCTGGGGGGGACCACGCTGCCCGGGCCTTCTCAACCCGTCTGGCTCCTGGGACAGCCCCGTCCCTCACGACTCCCTCCTCTCTTGTGCAGAGAAATGCCTACATGATCGCTGCGGGGGTCATCGGGGGGCTCTACGTCCTCTGCGCCGTGGTGCTGTCGGTGGGCGTGCGGGAGAAGAGAGGT